TTTCTGTAGATATGGACTCGTGAAACAAATTGTTACTGACAATGGAAATCAGTTTGTCTCAGAAGAATTTAGAGAGTTTTGCCGCAATAATAACGTGATTCACATCAGAACCACTCCTTACCACAGTCCTTCCAATGGTTGTGTTGAACGAGTAATTCAGACGTTTCAAAATAAGTATCTCATGACTGACATAAATGATCACGAACAAAGACACCATACACTTTTGTTCTCATGCAGAACAACTCCACATTCATCGACTGGACGGACACCAGCTGAACTTTTCCTGAAAAAAAAACCCAAGAACTTTGACACCCTAAGACCGGACACGAAGGAAAAGATGAAACAGTCGTCAGAACGCCAAAAGTTTTATCATGTTATCCACTCTAAAAGTAAAGACTTTAATGCAGGTGATAAAGTTTGGGTGAAACGGAATCCAAATGAAAATTGGAGAGAAGGGGTAGTGCTAAGGAAAACAGCACCATTGTCATAAAGAGTGAACATTGATGACAAAGAATACAGGCAGCATGCCGACCATTTATAGCCTTCGCAACAATCTGTTCAACAACAAACTTCACAACAACTAACTTCACCTTCATCTGGTACTACAAACCAGAGAAAATCAAGTCGGAATAAAAGAAAGCCAATGTATGTATTACCATGATGAATATTAGTCCTCCAGGCATTTAAAGAAGGAAGGGGGAAATGTTATGTATGCTGAAATACTGTTATTTCAATCAGATGTTTTCATAAAAACAATATTTGTTTACTTGTTACTTTTGTCATGAACGTTTGACAATTAAAGATTCTTAATTCATATATTTCATTCTATTTAAATGTTATAACGTTACATTATCATTTTGCCGCTAATAAGGAGTTGTCATCAACATATGATTCATAACACCCCATGATTTATGTTACTGTATTGTTTTTAATGTTTATGTTTCTGTTTCTATATTTTTCATTCAGGTAAAATGGTTGAATAAAAATGGGTTACATTCTCTTGTATCTTGTTTTATATAATTTAAGGACTTGATAACTGGCAACGAGGAAAACCAAAATGGAGTAAACTGACATTACATCACGTTTAAACAGTTACAAAAGGATTAGAACATTAATCAAGGCACAATTTAACAAACAAGCTGAACAATCACAAAATTGCTCCTAGGCAAGTTGACGAACGTCTAGAACTTCCGGACTCAACATGGACTAAGGGCGGGTTTCCGAGCTCGGGAATACGTAATCCTGGAGTTACTTAATCAGTGAATAAAGTTAGTCATCGAATAAAAAATCGGCTTTCAGAGCTCGCGAACTAACTCCCTAGTCCCCAGACTAGTCTATTAGTCAATTCGACGACTAACTTTATTCGCCAACTTCTGGACTACTTATTGTAGGACTATGGTTTAAGGTAGGAATCACGGGGAATTTTAGTTTTTGATTAGTGGTAGGGGCAGCAGACAGACGAATTTGAGACGATACCTGCCAAAGTTGTTCACGGTCAGCACTCATAGCTAAGTTAGTGTCTACTGTCTAGTCTGGTTCTAATCACTTTTCAGTTGGGATAATGATTCCTTGAGTTTCACTGAAGATGGTAACTAAAAGAAGATATTGTGTTCAAAAACGTATGCCGAAATAAAAAAACCCAGTTATGTGAACCATCATTTACAAAAAAAACCTGAAGGTTTATTTATTGCTGTTAAGTTTGACAAAAAAATAAACTTCCCGATTGAAGAATAAGGTGTCAAATGTGTTAGCCTATGCCTTTACTTTGTCCAAGATATTTTTTATGAGAATCTAAAAACTGTAGGCATTGCATCCTAATGCAAACCCCAATAATTGTCTATTTAAGGTCTTACAATTATTTTGAAATAAATTCTGTATGATGATACAAAAATAAAGGGAATTTTTTTATTATTCTTTGAATGCAAATCAACCGTAAAAAATTATCATTATTACAACAATTTGTTGGTTTAATGCTCTGAGAGTAGGCATAGTTATAATAATTTATCTACTTAGAATGTATTTGTGTTCTCTGATTGTTTTGTATTTTAACAATTCATCTGGATGTACAATATGTAGTAGAGATTAAGTAGGTGTCCAAGCAACTTCAGTTAACTTCCGACCATCTGAGCTCCGGTTATCTGAGACTCCAGGTTATCCGAGTTAGCTCACGGCTGAAATATTTGTTATTTAACCAAATTCCAAATTATTATACTAGATATGAGTTTCAATTGAAAATGATACTAATACAGAAGTCTTTTTTCGTTAGGCATACTGTTAATTTTGGTTAAAAGTATTCCTTAGTAAAATACTGCATTACAGTAGACTATCCGGACTCCTCAGTGCCGAGGCCAGTCCGAATAAAATATGTCTTATTTATAGAAATATTTTAGTAAAAATGTAATCAGACAAGTTGAAATTCACTTGGTCTAAATGTTTGCTGCGGCGGGGGTATTTTGTTTACGGTATTTAATGACTGTACATAACTCCTAACATGTTTCAAGTGTAATTCTTTAGTGAAAAAACCTTAATTTATTCAGGTAAATATTCTCATTTCTATAACAATTTAATTCAGTTAATGGTGATTTTTTAGCGAATTTCCCTATAGGAAAGTAGCTATTACCGTAGGTGGCACGGTAAGACCTAGACCCGGGACCGATTTACTTTTTCATTTTGATGTCCCCAGAGGCCAAAAACACCATTCGTTCAAATTTTTATATATGTATATATATATATACGTCCGTGAACGCGATAACTTGAGTAATTTTTGTCCGATTTTGATGAAATTTGGTTTAAAGGTGTAAAGCGGGATAAACTTGAATGAGTTCGCGAACCAGCACGATCGGACCATGGGAACGGGGATTTACGGGGGGATTTATGGGGTAAAAATTGGTTTTTCTTACTTTTGACCCTCAAAACACAAAATTTCCCGATTTCTCTTTAGACCTTTTTAAAGAGCTTAAAAAAACAAATAATTTAGTATATAAAAGTATTTTTGTTCGATTATTAGTAACGAAGAAAATTAAAAAATTGTAAATTTAAAATTCCCATGTTATTCTTATGGAGAATAATGTCAAATCTTGTAGTTTGCTTGTTTATGGATATATTTTGATCACACTTGGCAAATTTATTTATTTTGTACTAAGCTATCAATATTTTACTCAAAAACACACTTTATTAGTTTCCTTGTAGCAGCAAACCTAGGTACTCGTTAAACCTAATGTTATTAAAATACAGGGTGTTTATAAAAAAACTTTACAACTTTAACATTCTCCCATTCATGATCCATGGGACATAAACGTTTCCTATTGACACCACATGAAAGGGCTGCTCAAAAAGTTTTAATCAGCTGGCAGTTCAATCAGCTGATGGCCTTACATTGTTGTTTGGTAAACAAAAACAAATAATTGAAAAGTCTCATTAGCATCGCAATGGAAGCACGAATCAAAGCGCAGTGTGTGGAGTGGTTCATTGAAACGAAATCTGATGTTGTTGTTCAACGGAGATTTCGGACAAGATATAATAGGAATCCTCCTTCAAGACCCACAATTAGGGCTTGGTACTATAAGTTTATGAACACTGGCAGTTTGAATCACAAGAGAGGAAACGGTCGACCCCGTGTAAGCGATGAAGATGTGCGGCGTGTTCAACAATCATTTGTGAACGACCCGAAAAAATCCACCAGATCTGCGGCACGTGATTTGAATATAAAACATTCTACTGTACACAAAATCCTTAAATCATTGAAATTTCGTTCATACAAACTTCAAATTTTGCAAAAGATCACGCCGAATGACTGGATTCTCCGAAAAGAATTTGCTGTGACTGTGCTAGATCGGTTGGCGGAAGATGAAAATTATTTGAGAAGAATTTTTTTTTCAGACGAGGCTACCCTTCATTTATCAGGTAAAGTCAACAAGCAAAATGTTAGAATATGGGGAACCGAGAACCCCCATTGTTATCAAGAGCACACCAGGGACAGTGAAAAAATTAATGTTTGGTGTGGATTGTTTCATGATAGGGTGATAGGTCCTTTTTTCTTCCAAGAAAACAACATAAATGGAAACATTTACATTGATATGTTGGAGAATTTTGCTTTTCCCCAACTAGAAGAATTACAGCCAAATGTAATTTTTCAACAGGACGGTGCTCCCCCGCACTGGAAGAGGTTTGTTCGGGATTGTTTGGATCAAAAATTCCCAAATCGTTGGATTGGCCGTGGTGGGCCAACACCTTGGCCTCCTAGGTCACCAGATATAACTCCATGTGACTTTTTTGTTTGGGGTTTTGTTAAGAATCGTGTCTACGCTAGTAAAGTGGACAACAAAGAAGAACTAAGAGAAAGGATCAGGAGAGCGTTTGATGAAATAGATCATTCAATTTTGCGTCGTGTTGGGTCAGAACTGGAATGTCGACTTGATTTTTTGCGAGCAAACAACGGGAAACACATTGAAGTTAGGTAAACTTCTTATCATGTAAATAAAACTTGAGAAAATTTCCTAAATTTTAATTTTTGTTTCATAGCTGTAAGTGAAAAAATAAAGGTTTTATGATTGTTTAAAGTTGTAAAGTTTTTTTATAAACACCCTGTATATTTAACTGAAAATCAATTCAGACAAATGGAAATTCGCTTAGTCAGCAGGTTTGCTGCGGCGGGGGTATTTGTCCTATAAAAAAGTAAATGTGTTTCAACCCCAAGAGAACATGTCTACGGAAATAGGTACAGTATTTAATATTGGCCTTGGCCAATATCACATTTGGTATTTGTTGGTACATCAAGCAACCATTTTGTCCAACACTGACCAGTGCTTACCAATTTCCCTAGTTTGTGAACCATTTAAATCTGTTTGATTATATTTAACGACCCCAATTAAATTGAAAGCCAATTCTATGATAAGATTCTGAACATGAGACTTTCAGCTCTAACCAGTTGCAACAAGGGGTCCATAGAATAGTTATATCACAGACAGTATGAGGATGGTAATATAAACATTTAAAATTGATAAGAATATTTGAACAACATTATATTTATAGACATATAATGTATTTACATCATGAGTTCCATTTTTTTCCGTACAATCGTATTTACCATTTACTGTAGACACTTAAACTCAATCTCTTATAATACCTGGTTAGGTTACTAAACAAACTGATTATGTTAATTTGAAAAATTCAACCAAAACTAAATTTACGGTCTATAATTTACCTCATAATAGATTGTAGCTCATTTAGCTCAAGCTCACTTAGCTCATAATAGCTAGCAAACCAAAGTTTAAGTCTGCTTAGTATTCAATTCTGTAAAATAGCAGAAAATGCAACAACAGTCGCTCAATTAGTCAGATATTTTAACAATAACCCTTTTCAATGCATTATGTACTTAAAAAATTCATTACATCTTATTCATTAAAACTTGCGAAAAAAACTAAATTCTACATGAAAATTGACAGTTTAAAAATGACCAATAACTTAGTTAATCTTTATAATAGTAAGAATGACATTCCTATTCGTTGATTAACAACATTGATTAGTGTTAACATTAGAACCATACCAAATGTTAACTAGCAGAACTTTCAGACAGTTTTTTCATGATTGAACAACTAATAGTTTTAGGTTTAGTAAACATGATAATCTTCAATTTAATGGGCAACATCCCATATAGTTGACTGATTTTTGATACTGTCACATATCTAACAACCTGAAGCGAAATTCAATCTCATTTTCAATAACTCTTTAACGTTATCATTTCTCTTGTTTTGTAATGCAGTAGTGAGCAAATTATTGCCTTTAAAGTTGATCACATTAAGATACATTGCGTAGTCAAAACTGTTACTGATTTTACTTTTCAAATAACTTGTCAAAGGTTTCTTTGATCCTGCTTTACGAAACATGCAATCTACATCTTCAAATAATCTTACAATTTCAAAATGTTTCTGTTCATTCGCAATCATTTTAGGTGTTTTCTGGCACTTTTCACTTTGGTGATTGTAACAAGCTCCAAACCTCAACAAAATGTGACAAGTCTGATAATGACCGCTTGATGCAGCCAAATAGAGAGGAGTTCTTCCTTCTTTATCTAAGGTATTTGGTTGAACGTTTTTTTCCAATAAATATGTCAGCACTTCATTACGTCCGTGAAGGGCAACAAAATGCAAAGGATGCTTCATACGTTCACAGCAACTTGTTACCACTGCCCCCTTGCTTACAGCAGTTTTAATACGTTCCAGGTCATTTTCTTCAATACCTTTGAAAAATTCTTTTTCAGAGGCAAACAACTTTTCAGCTACCTTGTATCTTTTTACAATGTCAGTCATCTTCGGCAAGTCTTGGTCATATGGACAACCATGCTTGAGAAAACTTGTAATGTACTTTAAATCTACCTTAAATGATATGGCAACATGATAAGGTGTCATTCTATTTATGTTGTAAGCTCGAAAGTCTCCTCCAAATTCCAAGAGAAGAATGATTATGTCTCTATTAAATGGGATAACTTGATGGAATATGCTATCTTCATTCTGGCTTGTTGTATTGACATTAGCTCCAAGTTTTATAAAACATTTTGCCAACCCCAAAAAACCTGATATTATAGACACTTGTAATGGTGAATTTCCGTTCATATCTTTTACATTAAGATTTGCTCCACTTTCAACTAAATATTTAGCCATATCTATGCGACCATGTGAATCTTCTTTTTCTTGAGAATGAACCTTGTCTAAATCACGGGTAGCTAGACTGTGTAGAGGAGTAGTTCCATATTTTAAAGCTAGATTTACATTCGCTCCCAAAGACACCATTAATTTTACTAATTCCAACTTATTCAAAAAGACTGCCAAATGAAATGGTGCAATATAATCATCCCATGAAGCCCTATTGATATTACAACCACCTTTAACAAGCTCTTGAATTATTTCGGCATTCTCATTTTTCACTGCTAGGCACAGAGGTGTTCTATTTTCCTTAGTCAGTGATTCCAGATCCACACCATGAAGCAGAAGTAACTTGACTATATCCAAGTGGTTTTTAATTACAGCACAATGAATTGGTGCAAAGCCATCTATATCTTGAATATTTGGATCAGCACCTTTCTGTAGAAGAAAACTAACAACAGAGGGCAAGTAATTAGTAATGGCCAAATGAATTGGTCTACTCTCACTTAAACGGTCTACAATTGCATCAACCGGTACACCAGAGTTTAACAATAGTTTGACTGCAGACACACAAGTTTTTTGTTTTTTCTCCCTACTAAGAGCAAAATACATTGGGGTTAAACCATTACAGTCAAATTTGTTGACTTCAACTCCTAGATCAGTAATGAGAAGCTTAGCAACTGAGATGTTACCACATTCTAATGCAACTTCTAGAGGACTATAAAACTCTTTGTCTTGATAATAAACATTCCAACCTTCTATCACAAGTGTTTTTACTATTTCTGGTTTTGTATTGATGTAACAGGCAATGTGAAGGGGAGTTATTGTAGGGGTCTTTTTCTTGTTATCTTGATAGGCAATTGCAAGCTTTATCAACTCCAAGCTATCAATCTTATTCAATCGACTATATAGCCTGATTTTAGTTTCATTAAGAGGCTCTTCTGAGAGTAAATCGGTAAGTTTTCCTTTCTCCGACATTGTGATCTGAAACAAATAAAGACTTGTTTTAGGATGACACACACAGACAGTTTTTCATTATAAAAATATTTCAGGGACAGGTAATTGTGTATGCACATCCCCTCTGACACGGAAGGCGATGGCCAAGTGTTTCAGGTCGGTTAGGTTAGAGTGTACCAGTCCCTCTCACTTTGTGCCTGGGGCTTCGATGAATCGTTGTTCTTGCGTTTGCCTGTAGCCTATCTTTTTTTATGGTAGCAGAGAAGCATTCCTTAAAGACGTCCTGTAAAGTTTAAAAAAGGGTTTTGAAAGTCAAAAAGCCAATTCCATCTAACCGCCTGGAGAGGAGCCTTAAACTTTAGCAGTGCTTCAGGTTTTGTGAGGTTTGGTCTACGAAAAGACTTAATTTGCATGCCAGTGCCAAGGGAAAACAGTTGGTGAACTCAACAATGTAGGCCTATTGTTGACTTCTAGTACCACGGTATCATGGTCGGAGATGTAAGGGACAAGAACATTCATGCTGTACCTCTCCTGCAAAAGCGATATAAGTATAATGTCGAGGCAATAATTCCCTCTGGTTGAGGTTTTGTTGGTTAATGAATAGGCCACACTGCCTTGTCAGAAGCTTGAAGATTTTTTTCCTCACTGGAGCTGGTTAAAATTTGAACATAGAAACCACCACACACAAGCTCATCTTAGTCAGTAGTAACAAAGCAACACAGATCATCTCACACCATTTTACTCTCATATTTGGGTTAAAATACACAGTTAAGGATGAGATAGTTCATGTGTAAATAAAAGAAACTAAGCTTACTAACAGTCATCAATCCAAATAGGAACAAAATCAGTATGAGCTTGAATAATACTGAACGTGAAAGACTAGAATACATAGTTGATAATCCTGACAATAATAACAAATTTTGTGCTTATAGACTAGAATAAATTCGACAATATAATAACCATGAAATAGCAAAGCAATAACAATAACAAACCTCAGCTAACCAACAACCGACAAAATGACCAAAGGTATACTAACTAAAATAAATAACTTTGAAACAACAACAAACCCACAAGCTAACAACCAATAACAACTCATACACATTAATAATTAAACGAATATAAATTCAATTTAACTAGAGCAACAACAAACCTATAGTTAAAAAATGGTGAATGATTTAACGAACAAGAAGCATATTTGTAATGGCAACAACGAATAACAGTTTTTAATAAAACACAGGTCGGAAACTTTGATAGAAAGAAAAAAACTGAACATTAAGTGTTAAAGTGTTGATCTTCTTTTTCAGTGTAGTCAACGCTGTCTTGAAAAAAGTCGACATGTCTTGTCACTTTGTTGCCAGCTCCCTGGACTCGAATCATTGTGCTGTTGGCTGAGTAACTAGTGCGGTGCTGTTGCTTAATAAATAGATCGAGAAGTCGACCTTGTGTTAGATTAGGGTAGGTTAGGGTTGAAACAGGTGTGGGGGAGTCTTGAAATGGATTTGGCGGAGTATGTCAGGACAGTCGACTCTTCCGTTGATAACCTTGTGCAGCAGGACTGTGTAAGCAATGATTCTACGTTCCTCCAGCGACTGAAGACCATGTGCCGGGGATATGGTGTCAATCGGCACCTGACGGAATGGGAATCCTATCTTGAAGCCCACCATTCAAACAAATCTTCGTTGAATTTTCTTCAACTCATTACTTTTATATACTACTTACTTACTGTGAGGTACTTTTAATGAGGGCTCCATATTGGTGAACCATATTAGAGAATTTGCCTCACCAAGGCACAGTAAAGTGACTTTAAAGCATCTGAACCATAAAAAATGAATAAAAGATAAAGCGGAACAAGTAGCGACATTAGATCGACTGCAGATCTAATGAGATATTAAGTAGCGAAATTATGCAAGCAGTGGCAGTGATAAGTGAAGAGTGAGAAACAAAGTGAGGACGATTCCACTGTCGTGCAATTTCAGATATTTTCCAAATACAGTAGAGTCCCGCAAACTCGGCACTCGATAACCTGGCAGTCTGGATAACTCGGCCATCACTTGGCTCAGAAAATTAGTGATTTTTTGGGTCCGAGTTAATCATGAACTCAAGCGAGCTTAAGTCAAATTATTCGCAACTCGTACTAATTATTTGTTGAACTATATCTGATGACTCAATACTGACTTTTAATATAAATAAAAATCAAGAAGGCGGTTAAAAAGTTTAAAATTTGTATTGTTCTTCTCCCTAGAGTGGATGTGCTGCACATACACACCCACGGATAGGATGGGGTTGTGGCTTCAAGTGGTTGATCGGGCGAGTTTACCGTTTGTTATTGGTTTTATCTAATTAATAGATAGGCTGATTACTGATTAATAGATTGACTGATAAGATATGGTACTAAACCTACCCAAAAGATGCTAGATTGATTGTTTTTTCTCTTAAAACTACCAAAAAGATGATGAGTTTCCCTTTATTCCTAACATGCCTACTGAAATAATGTACCGTATAGTATTATTATCTCAAGTATAATCAAAATAACTCTAGTTTAACCTAGGGCCATGTTTAAAATCAGTCTCTTATACCTTTGTGTCTTACCATAAAGAAGTTTTAGCTGCAAAATGTGTCTAAAATCAGTCTCTTATACCTTTGTCTAGCATAAAGAAGTGTTTTAGCTGCAAAAAGAAATTTTTCTTATTAGTAATTGATTGTCTGATTGATGATTGAAATAACCGGATTTCTGTGAGTATAGTTTGGGTTTATTCCTATTTTAGATTTGAATGATGATAATAAAAAGAAATAATCTGCTGAACAAAATACTAATATCCTTTAGGAAGAAGCATCCTTAAACTTAACCATTCTAAAATCTTAAACTAAACTATAAAATGAATAAAGGAATACTCTATATTTCAAATAATTACAACACTTCATTTATACACTACTTTATTGAAGAAATACTATACAATTGTTTTACTGCATCCTGCTGCCCAATTAATTGAACACCTGTTCTGAAAATACCAAAATTCCTCTTCACTGTCACTATACAAAGAGTCCCAATAACATTCTTCTAATGTAGCTGAAGCTTCCAAGTCACTCATTATTTTCTTAGTCATACATAGCAGCAAAAAGTCTTTAAAACAGCTGTACATTTTCTTCTTCTTAACATGAATTGGTATTTTCAATCCACTAGCATTTAGAGTTGTTTCATCACGTGAAACACTATATCTCTTATTTCCAATGCAGTAATACAAAACTGGAGGCTTAATAAGCATTTGTATCCATTCTTTACTATGCTTTTGTAAATGCTGAGCTTTATTTTTGAAATAATACAGTTCTCCTGCTGTTGCTTAATAAATAGATCGAGAAGTCGACCTTGTGTTAGATTAGGGTAGGTTAGGGTTGAAACAGGTGTGGGGGAGTCTTGAAATGGATTTGGCGGAGTATGTCAGGACAGTCGACTCTTCCGTTGATAACCTTGTGCAGCAGGACTGTGTAAGCAATGATTCTACGTTCCTCCAGCGACTGAAGACCATGTGCCGGGGATATGGTGTCAATCGGCACCTGACGGAATGGGAATCCTATCTTGAAGCCCACCATTCAAACAAATCTTCGTTGAATTTTCTTCAACTCATTACTTTTATATACTACTTACTTACTGTGAGGTACTTTTAATGAGGGCTCCATATTGGTGAACCATATTAGAGAATTTGCCTCACCAAGGCACAGTAAAGTGACTTTAAAGCATCTGAACCATAAAAAATGAATAAAAGATAAAGCGGAACAAGTAGCGACATTAGATCGACTGCAGATCTAATGAGATATTAAGTAGCGAAATTATGCAAGCAGTGGCAGTGATAAGTGAAGAGTGAGAAACAAAGTGAGGACGATTCCACTGTCGTGCAATTTCAGATATTTTCCAAATACAGTAGAGTCCCGCAAACTCGGCACTCGATAACCTGGCAGTCTGGATAACTCGGCCATCACTTGGCTCAGAAAATTAGTGATTTTTTGGGTCCGAGTTAATCATGAACTCAAGCGAGCTTAAGTCAAATTATTCGCAACTCGTACTAATTATTTGTTGAACTATATCTGATGACTCAATACTGACTTTTAATATAAATAAAAATCAAGAAGGCGGTTAAAAAGTTTAAAATTTGTATTGTTCTTATTTTTAACCATACTTCCCGATAACCCGGCATTTCACAAACTCGGCACCCTTCCAGTCCACATTACGCCGAGTTTATTGCCTGATGCTGTTGCTTGCGGCCCCAACAAAATTAAAACACTAGCGTCTCTGGTAAGCGCGGCACTGCTTATTCAACACTATGTTTATAGGCTATAGTCAAAGCTAAGATCAACCAAAACAAAACTGGCACTAAACCAACCTAGCCTACTTGGACAAATATCGAGTCGTAAATAAGGAAAAGGTCTAGAATGTATTCAGGGGCTGGAGACACTTTTTCTCTCATATCAAAAAGTGCCCGAAGAAAAATTCTGTGCGGGCAATCTAGAGTTAAGCTAAAAAGTAGGTCTGAGATAGGTGGCAATTATTTTAAATTATTTATATAGATTACGTGACCAAAGAAACCTACATTGGTTTTAGTTCTAATCGCCATAAAATAGATTTTTAAATTAAAATAACTGCAAAATTTTGCTGTGCTCACAAACTTTAGGGGAACTACAAACCTGCCAATTTAAAATTTCCCCGCCGCAGTAAACCTACAGACTAAGCGAATTTCCATTTGCCCTATTGGATTTACAGTATGTCTCCATAAAAATATCACATTTATTCGCTATTTAAATATAATTAGTTTAACGAGTACTTAGGTTTGCTGCAACAGTGAAAAAAGTGTTTTTTTTTTGTCAAATGTTTATAGTTTAGTTTAGTATGAAATAAATTAATTTTCCAAATTTGATCAAAATATGATCATAAATATGCATATTACAACAGCTTAAATACTTATTCTCCGTAAGAATAACATGGGAATTACAACACTTCAATATACTAAATTATTTGTTTTTTTTTTTAGCTCTAC